CAGCATCAACATCGGCAGCAGCATCATCACCGTCATCATCATCAGCAGCATCAGCATCATCATCATCGTCGACATCATCATCATCATCATCATCATCATCATCATCATCATCATCATCATCATCATCATCGGCATCATCGGCATCATCAGCAGCAGCATCCTCAGCATCAGCATCAGCATCATCAGCATCATCATCACCCGCATCATGATACTCAACATCATCATCAGCAGCACCGCCATAATCGTCAACCTCGTCAACATCATCAACATCAGCATCAGCATCATCAGCATCAGCATCAGCATTATCATCAGCAGCACCATCATCAGCGTCATCATCAGCAGCATCAGCATCATCATCATTATCACCAACAGCATCATCATCACCATCATCATCATCGGCATCCTCCTCCTGCTTATCCTGCTCCTCCGCTTCCTTATCATCAGAATCATCGTCATCATCCTCAGCATCATCACCATCATCGGCGTCAGCATCAGCACCAGCATCATCATCGTCATCAGCATCATCGGCATCATAAGCATCAGCATCATCATCATCAGCATCAGCATCGTCAGCAACAGCATCAGCATCATCATCATCATCATCATCATCATCATCATCATCACCAGCATCATCAGCGTCATCAGCGTCATCAGCATCATCATCAGCATCAGCGTCAGCATCAGCATCCTCACCAGCAGCATCATCATTATTATCAGCATTAAGTATAATAGTGCTCTCACTACCATCATCACCGATAGCATCACTGTCAGCATCATCGTCCGCATCACCATTATCAGTATCATCACCATCGTAATCATGCTCAGCATTAGCAGCATCATCAGCATCATCATCGTCGTCATCGTCATCAACATCATCATCATCATCATCATCATCATCATCATCATCATCATCATCAACATCCTCATCGTCATCATCGTCATCATCATCATCATCGGCATCATCATCGGCATCATTACCAACATCCTCATCATCAGCATCCTCCTCATAATCAGCATCAGCATCATCATCATCATCATCATCATCAGCATCATCATCGTCATCATCTGTTGCACGTGTCCTCACCATTCGCACTCTCACCCCGCCTCCCACTCCTCCTCCTCCTCCTCCTCCTCCTCCTCCTCCTCCTCCTCAAGTCCCTCCTCGACATACTCCTCCATCTCCCACTGCTACCCCTCATCTGTCCAACTATGTCCACCCAACCCTCCTCCTTGTCCGCCTCCGCCTCCTCCTCCTCCTCCTCATCATCATCATCATCACAATCATCATTAACATCATCAGCATCATCACCATCAGCAGAAGCATCACCATCATCGTCAGCAGCATCATCATCAGCATTATCATCGGCAGCAGCATCCTCATCCTCATCCTCATCATCATCAGCATCATCATCAGTATCATCAGCACCCGCCTCATGATGTGAATGTTCCTCCTCCGAGTCATCCTCCGAGGCCTCCTCAGCATCCTCCTCCCCGTCCTCCTTATCATCCTCATCGTGCATGTTCCTGCTCATGTCAATGATCCTGCTGATGCTGTTGCTGATGCTCCTCCTCATCCTCCGCCTCCTCCTCATCCTCATCCTCCTCTTCCTCCTCCTCCTCCTCTTTCCGCTATTCCTCTCCCCTCATCATCACCGTTCCCGCTCCTTCGCCTCCCCCTGCCCCTGCACTTGTTCCTGCTCCGTATCCTGCTGTTGTCAGCTCCTCCTCCTCCTCCTCCTCCTCCTCCTCCTCCTCCTCCTCCTCCTCCTCCTCCTCCTCCTCCCTGTTTTCCCATCCTTCAACGCATCGAGACCTCGAACCCCCAATGGCGCGATGCGACTGGGGAGTCGGCAGGCCGTCCTGCCGCGGGACCGTCGTGGCCCCCCCTCCTCCCGGAGGCAGCGGGGGCGCCGAAAGCGGACGAGGGGCGGAGCGGAGGACGGAGGAGAAGAGACAAGCCGCAGTCTGCAACGGCGCGTCGGCCGACCTGCGAGTAGGCAAGCCAGGACGCGCAAACCCAAGGGCGGAGGACGCGGGCGCACTCGAAGGTCTCTAGATCACGCCTGCAGCGCCACTGGGCACACTTCAAACACATCGAGCACGGGAGCAGAGAGGGGACAGAGGGGCCTCCTCTGTCTCCCTCCCCCCTCCTCTGTCTCCTTGCCCGCCTCCCCCCCCCTCCTCCTGGAGGGGGGGGCGGGGAGAGGAGACGGAGGAGCCTCCTCTGTCTCCCTGCCCGCCTCCCCCCCCCCCCTCCTGGAGGGGGGGGGAGGCGGGCAGGGCCCAGCGTGCGGGCGGGGGCGCGGAGGACACGAGCCGCAGCACGCCGGGCGGACCGTGCCCGAGACGCAGGGCTCACGGCAGGAGTGGGGGCCCGAAGAGCTCTCGCGCCGCGGGCGGGCGCGCCAGGAGGGGGAGGGGCCGTGGAACCGCGCTCGGGGCAGAGGAGGGGGGAGGCAAAGGGGGACAGGCCTGGCCATCGCTTGGACGTCCATTCCCTGTGTTTTTGGTCGGTTTCGTGCGTGGCTGTTTCGCCGAATGGTCAAGGGTGCTCCTCGATGGTCCCCGCCGAAGGAAAAATGCACACGTCCGAGCGATGCCAAGCCAGGAGCAACGCCCAGGGTCGGCCGCGCAGCGGCCTCCAGGGCCGCCCACGTCTCGCACAAAAGGCGCACCGCTGGAGCGCACGAAGGACACGGTCGCGAGGACGCCCATATCGGGAATGTCTCGTCATCCCAATCACCAAATGCTTCACCATCGCATGTATACTCGTCAACACAGACATCAGAATCCGCAGTGTGTTCCTCCTCCTCCCTTCCTCACCCGCCCTCCTCCTCCTCCGCCCTCCTCCTCCTCCTCATCCTCCTCCTCCTCCTCCTCCTCCTCCTCCTCCTCATCATCATCATCATCATCATCATCATCATCACCACCACCATCATCTCGCCTGTCGCTCGCGCTGAAGTGCGGAATATGTCCGAGAGTGCTGGGCAACGGTACAGGTGCTTTCGCAGACGACATAGTTGGCAAGAGGCCTCCCCTGAGAGGAGAGGCAGGAGCGACACACCTTCTCACGCAGCAAAATGCTCGCCATCGCTCGGACGTCGATGTCCCGTGCATTTCTCGATTTCGTGCGTGTATCTTTCGCTAGATGAGTAAGAATGCTCCTCGATGGTCGTCGCCAAAAAAAATGCACACGTCCGAGCGATGCCAAGAGTGAGGCACATCTAGATGAAACCCTTCGTAGGGTAGGTTTACTGCAAGACAACGGCAACGAGGGAAACAGCTCCGAGCCTCCACGAGAAGAATGAGAAGAAGCGTGTTGGGGCATTGGCTGCGGGGGGCAAGGTCTTGGCCAGGGGGGGGTTTCTCGGAGGACGTTGCGCTTGGGATCCAACCTGGGGGCGTGGGTGTTCCGCTGCGAAGTCTGGAGGGGCTCTGATGGGACGTCTGTGGAGCAGTCAGGTACCAAAGAAAGCAAAGATACTGGCGTTCCAAGGGCATGTTTTTGAAGCAGGATTCTCCGCGAACGAACCCCACGTATTCACCGCAATGATGACTGACCCGATGGGCAGCATCATTGCCAAGGCCCCTCGGGTCCTGGAAAGCGGCAAGTCCACGAACTGGACGGAAGTCCATTCGTTCGTACGCTGAGCTTCGTCGTAAGTGGCGAGTCATCCCTGCCAGGTGCGCTGAGACTTCCCGAAGGTTCGATTGGCTCCAGAAGATGGCCGGAGACCTCAAGGTCCATGCCTAGGTTGCCGCCGCTCTCTGGGGAACCCAGGAGGGAGGCCCACCTGCCCCGGATGATCGTGGACACCTTACTCGTTCCATCCCACCTCTGGCGCACAAAGCAGAGACGGACCCCTCTGGATTTTCGCGGGGATCAGCGCAACGGAGGAGTTCGATGAAAGATGGAGGTGGCATACAAGTCGTTCATTTCTAATCGTGCTCATCTCTAGATGTGCTCGCTGTTCCTGGCCCCCTGGTGGCCAGGAAGGGGCCCAGGATAGAGCAATTAAACAACATGAAAGGATCTTGGCCCCCCCCCAAAAAAAAATCGAATAATTGTCGAAGAACTAGACATGAACAACGCGCAACTATTCGTATGCAGCCCGTGCCACAACAACGAGGTGCGTGAAGCGTGGCCTCGCAGCGGCCCGTCGAGCCTGCAGGCCGCGAGCCTGCCGCGGGGCGAGGCCGCTTCCCTTCGGCGGGCCACGAGGCCCAGCTCGTGCCATCCGAACGCCCGGCGGAAGAAAGCTCGGCGGCGCGCACAAGGGGGTGCGGGAGCGGGAGGGGGTTTCTAGAAAAGGAGGCTGCGTCTCAGAGGGCGCCGGCCTTACGTGTTGTATAGCTGAGGCCCGCGCCTTCGAAGAAGAAGCAGGGGTGCTTCTGAGAAGCCCTCCCCCCTCCCCCCACCGCCCTCTGCGCGTGGCTGAAAAGCCTCACAGCACTCGTCTGCACGCTCAGGGACGAAAATCATAGGATGTGTTATCAAACGTTTGCCACTCACGGCGCACTTACTGCACACAGGTACCAATCACGGGGGGAGAACACGTTACCAGGAGCCCACTGCTTACATGCATCGCCTCTAACCTCTGTCCGTGGTGTAAGCAGACGTTCTCCACGAAAGATAATACACGACAGCACGTCAGGACAGCTTGGGAAAGTAGAGCTTGCCGAATGGATCGAACAACCTTTCGGTGGCATTCTTGCCCCCGTCCGCTATCCGATGGAGCTATTGCGACGAGCCGGTCGACACGATCGAAAAAATACAACACACGTGTATGGTACGTCAGCACCTCCCTCGCCCTCCTCCTGCACCAATTTCCCCCCGAGCTCGAGGGGGCCATCGGGACATGCCCGTCCGTGATGCCACATCGGGAGGCCACCGCGCTCCCATCCGAGGCCGCAGGTACAGCGGAGCCGGCAGCCGCAGCAGGGCCACGGCGACGGATGAGACAGCGAGGAGAAACAGTGCAGGCCGAGAGCGACCTAGGCTATAAAGGCGCCCGGCAGGCAGCACTGCAGGTACTGATACTCAGGTTCCTTCTCCAGCTCGGGCAGTCGAAGAGGAACGTGGAAAGAGTGATCTTCGATTGCCCAATCCTCGACGGCAACAGCAACGAGGTCACGCAGATGAGCGTACAGGGTGTGAAGTACATCGAGGCCGTCACGGCCGCAGGGAAGGGACGTACACACGGGCCTCCCCGCTCCTGAGTCTTCGGAGGATTGCTCGTGGCGTTCACCATGAGGAAGGGGGCGGCGGGGGCGCAATCACCAAGAAGCTCCAAGAGCTGCGCGAGATGTGCCAACGTTGGGAAACGGTCAAGAATTGCGGCCTTGTCGCCAAATTCTGCAAGATCGATCGGTGGTACGACGTGAACAAGAAGACACTGCTGATCAATCTCAACACAGAGATCCGACAGGTCATCATCGACGCCCTCATCCCGACGGGAGCGGAGTGGAAACAAGGCACTACGCCACTGACACACATGGAGAGAAAACTCCAGGAGTGACTGGAGGCGTGAGGCCTGAGAGCTAACAGCTGCGGCCACAAAAAACTTGGACAACATTGACCGAAACAGTGGGCGTGGTAATGGTACAGATGACGATCTGGGAAATGATGGCGACAACTTTTTCTGACTCTGCACAGCGACGGAGTGGCGACACAGTATGAAGCGAACTTCAAGCAACAGAATGTGATCGCGCTCTCTCCCTCTACACCTCCACGGCCGACGACACCCACCTTGTCGAGAGCTACGCCGCCCTCCCCTTCTACCTCCTGGGTGGATCCTCCGAGACCGCCCGCTTCTTCGCCGACTATTCCGACCTAGTCGAGTGCTCCGAGTCCCTCCTCCGCTCCTTCGAGGCCGTCTGCACCTACGCCCACTATTCTGACAGCGTCGGGTGCTCCGAGGCCCTCCTCCCCCACTGCTCCGAGGCCGTCTTCGACGGCTACGCATACTTTTCCGTCCACGTCGAGTGCTCCGATGTCATCGACGGGGACTCCCGGACCGTCTTCGACGACCTTGCCTACGATTCCTGTCACGACAAATGCTCCAAGACCCTCGAACGTGACGTCCAGGCCCAGGATGTCCTCCCCCTCCCGTCCGTGTTCTGAGTGGAAGGGCAGACGGACGCGTTGAGGCCCCCCGACCGCGTCTGTGCGAGAGCATATACAAACAAACGCCAAATGTTTCCAGGGAGCCAGTTTTCCTAGGGAGCCCGGTGTTCTCAAAATGTATGGCAGAGCTAGGATAATCAGGCTAGCAAGGTTCGAACCCAAGCAAGGAGTACCCGTCGGCGGGAAGAAGTGGGAAAAAAAGAAATAGGAAGGCGGATAAAGCGGATTCAGGCCCTCCCAGAGAGGAGCAAAACACAGTAAAAACACATCGGTTCCTGAAGTAGGAGAAAGCGCTCCAAGCAGATTGGGACCTGGGAGTCCACGAACACACCTGCTTTCAACGACCGATGAATAGAGAACCTCCCCCCCACGGGTTCGCGGGCCTCGGAATACCGATGGGCCGTGCGTTCCCCCCTCGCTCCCGAAGACGTTCGTCTCCTCCTCCTCCTCCTCCTCCTCCTCCTCCTCCTCCTCCTCCGCCTCCGCCTCCGCCTCCGCCTCCTCCTCCTCCTCCTCACTTCTTCCTCCTCTTCCTTCCTCCTCCTTGCTGGACGTTCCCAAGGTGGCCCTCGTGACGGGGACGCTGGCTGTCGGCGGTGCCTCGAGAGCTCCCATCGCCCCGTGCTTTATTACAGGCCCCACCTGTGGGCTTCTCCTCAGGATCTGGTACAGTGTTGTGGCTTCGTAGCTCTGGCAAGCATGAGGTTCTTTGGAGTTTTGTTCCGCTCCGTTCCTCCTCCTCCTCCTCCTCCTCCTCCTCCTTCTCCTCCTGCTCCCCCTCCTCCTCCTCCTCCATCCTCCTCCTCCTCCTCCCTTCTCCTCCTCCTCCTCATCCTCCTCCCTCCTCCTCCTCCTCCTCATCATCATCATCAGCAGCAGCAGCATTATCACCATCCACCACCACCACCACCACCTTCCAATCCTCTGTACCCACTTCCTCTCCTTCCTCCCCTCCTCCTCCTCCTCCTCCTCATCGTCCGCCTGCTCCTCATCATCATCAACATCAGCATCATAATCAGCATCATCATCATCATCATCATCATCATCATCGTCATCATCATCATCATCATCATCATCATCATCATCATCCTCATCCTCATCGTCATCGTCATCATCATCATCAGCATCATACTGCCACCACCAGCATCATCATCATCACCACCACCATCATCATAATCATCGTCAGCATCCTCATCATCATCATCATCATCATCATCATCATCATCATCATCATCATCATCATTAGCATCGGCATCATGATCCTCGTCAACATAATCAGCATCAGCATCAGCATCAGCAGCATCAGCCGCAGAATCATCATCATCAGCAGAATCATCATCCTCATCAGCATCATCCTCATCATCAGCAACAGCATCAGCAGCAACAGCATAATCAACATCATCAGCATCAGCATCAGCACCAGCATCATCAGCGCCATGAAAATCAAATACAAACACCAACAGCAACAGCACCAATAACAACAACAGCAAAAACAACAGCATCAACAACATCATCAGCAGCAGCCTAATCATAATCAGCATCAGCATCATCATCATCATCAGCAGCATCATCAGCATGAGCAGCACCATCATCATCAGCGCCAGCCTCATCAGCACCATCATCATCAGCAGAATCAGCATCAGCATCATCCGCATCAGCATTATCACCATCGTCATCAGCAGCATCATCATAAGCAAAAGCAGCATCGTAAGTATCATCAGCATGGTCATCGCCACAATCATCATCATCATCATCATCATCATCAGCCGCAGCAGCACCATCATCATAATCGCCATAAGCATCATCAGCAGCAGCAGCATCACCATGATGCACCTTCACATTGGTTCATCAGCATCAGCATCATCATCAGCATCATCGTCATCAGCAGCAGCATCAGCAGCATCAGCATCATCGTCATCGTCCGCATCATCATCAGCAGCATCATCATCATCATCATCATCATCATCATCAGCATCATCCTCATCAGCATCACCCTCATCATCAGCATCCTCATCATCATCATTAGCATCGTCATCATGATTCTCGTCATCATAATCATCATCAGCATCAGCATCAGCAGCATCAGCCGTAGAATCATCATCATCAGCATGATACTCATCAGCATCATCATCAGCAGCAACATCATCAGCAGCAGCAGCATAATCAACATCATCAGCATCAGCATCCGCATCAGCATCATCATCGTCATGAAAATCAACAACAAACAGCAACAGCAACAACACCAATAAAAACAGCAAAAGCAGCAGCATCAACAACATCAGCATCAGCAGCCTCATCATAAGTAGCATCATCATCATCATCAGCATCAGCATCACGATCATCATCAGCGCCAGCATCATCAGCACCATCATCATCAGCATAATCAGCATCAGCATCATCCGCATAAGCATTATCACCACCATCATCATCATCATCATCATCATCATCAGCATCATCATCATCATCAGCATCATCATCATCATCATCGTCAGCATAATCAGCATCGTAAGTATCATCAGCATTGACATCGCCATCGTCATCATTATCATCAGCCGCAGCAGCACCATCATCATAATCGCCATCAACATCATCATCAGCAGCAGCATCACCGTGATGCATCTTCACATTGGTTCATCATCATCAGAATCATCAGCATCATCGTCATCTGCAGCATCATCATCAGCAGCATCAGCATCACCTTTATCGTCCGCATCATCATCATCCTCATCATCATCATCATCATCATCATCATCATCATCATCATTATCATCATCATCATCAGCATCATCATCACCATCATCATCAGCATCATCCTCATCAGCATCATCCTCATCAGCATCGTCCTCATCAGCATCATCAGCATCATCCTCATCATCAGCATCCTCATCATCAGTATCCTCATCATCATTATCATCATCAGCATCATCATCATCATCATCATCATCATCATCATCATCATCATCATCATAATCATCATCATCATCGTCATCATCATCACCACCACCACCAGCAGAACCGTCGGGACGGGCCCAGGTGCGGCCTTGCCCACGCCTGCCGCCGCCGCGCCTTCCCTTTCGGCACCACGCCGCGCCCTGCCGCCAGGTGCGACGCGGCCCACCGCTCCCGCGCTCCGCCGCGCGCGCGCGCCAGGCGCGCGGCGAGCCGCCATGCGTCAGCGGCTGGCGCTGGCAATCTGCGGAGGCTGCTCGGGGCGCCGCCCAGCCGGGGAGAGGACGACGTGGAGCTGGACCCCGCGCAGGCCGCAGGCAGGGAGCCCCCGCAGACAGCGGCCGATGGCCACGCCGTCGGAGTGACTGGCATCTCCCCGCCAGGCCTGGCCGTCGGCCCCGCGGGCGCCGAGCTGGCCGTGGCCGTGGCGGGCATGCCGCGACGGAAGGCTGCCAGGCCGCTGCTGCGTACGGGAGCGTCGACGTCCAACTCCGTGGAGGCGTCGCGTCGACTCGTGTCGAAAGTAGTCGCTATGCTCATGGGTGCTGCTGCGCGTGCGGTCAGCCACATCACGGGCCTCGGCGTCACCGCCATCATGTCAGTCTACGGCGAGTTCAAGGATGTGGTGTCGGGCGAAGTCCATCAGGTGGCCTTCGTGTGCTTCGCCCTGGCTACGGACGCTGTCATTGTCCTCGACGCGGCCGTCGCTGTGGGCATCACACTGAAGCGGCGCTTCATCCAACTAATCGTGGGCTGCACGTCGGTCGTGAACTTTGTAGGGTCGGTCGTCATGCACTTGCTCGTGGCGATTATGGTGGCCACCATCTGGAATACCGCACTCTCGCGGCATGCGGCCACGCTACTCGTACATGTTAGGGGCTTCATGGTCGTGTGCGTCAGCAGCGGGTGCGGCGCCCTCGGCTTGGTCGTCGTAGTCTCGATCACGGTGTATCGGCACATCGACGTCATCATATCATGCCTGCTCCTCGTCGTGGGAGGCGCATGCATCGCGGTGTTGCTGGAGGTGGACCTCTGGGTGGTCGTCGGCTGCGTGATCTGCCCCCTCGGCATCGTCGCGAGCGGCCTCCTCGGGACGCTGGTGCTCTTCGTCGACAGGGGCGTCGTGGCGGACGGGCAGATCGGCCTGATCTCATGCGAGTCTCGGCACTTCGGCTCTCTCGGCTCAAAGGACAAGCCACCGCGTGCCGTGCGCACCAACATTGCTCGCCGCCCGCTGCTGCTTCACAGGTCGCCTCTAACCCCCAGCAGGGAGCTGCGCGTGCACCTGCGGAGACAGGAGCGTCCTCATGCTCCCCAGGAACGGAAGACTGGGCCTACCTCCTCCTCCTCCTCCTCCTCCTCCTCCACCTCCTCCTCCTCCTCCTCCTCCTCCTCAGCCGCCGTTTCTTGCTCTAGCCTCACCCTTCGCGGCCCAGCAGGCAGCCCACGCAGAGCAGCTTCCGCCCTCAGGGCACCCTTCATGTCATGCCAGCGCGGCTGGCCATCCATATTTCCTCGCTGGCGATCTTCTGGATGACATTCATGCGGTGGGGCGTGTACAATCCGCTCAGCATGGTCGCGCCGTTACGAAGCATGGAGATTTCGAGACAGTTCAGCGCTGTCGACGTCGTCATGTTACCAGCCACTCGTTGGAGGCAGAACGACCCCACCAGCCCCATCGACCAGCTCCAGACCTACAAGCACCGCATCTTCACGTGGGGCTACGGCAGAGGCCCATTCACCAACAATCACGCGGGCGTGGCCATTATGATCAGCAACCGCTACCGCCTCAAGTGCGTGACCGAGCTCCCCAGACCGCCGCCGTGCATCCAAGAATGTGCAGGAGCAGTTCGCCTCCGCCGAGGAGAACTCGACATGACCTTCATCGTCTGGGTCAAGACGGTCAACGAGACGCTCAAGTGGATCAACAAGACTCTGAACGAGACGCCCACCAGGAGCACGCCGATCATTGGCCTCGACTTGAACGACCACTACGGCCAAGACGGTTTGCTTCCTGCCACGCCCACCAACGTGATCGGCGACGCAGGCCCTACAGGAGTACCTGGAGAGGCAGCAGCAGCCTTCCACAACATGCTCGACGTGCACGGCATGTGCATCCTTAACACCTTCTGGAATGCGGGGCCCACGTACTTCGGAGCCCAAGGACAGGCCACACGCCCCGACTACATCGCAGTGCCTCGAGGGCTATGCCCACACATCACTTCTTGCAGAGTCTGGTGGCGAGCGGCCAAGGCACTACAACTCATCAATGACGCACTACTACTCGAGGGAAAGGACGCGGAGGGGGATACCCATATGCAGGACAAGGAAGAGGAAGAGCACCAGGGCGTGGCAAGCCCAGCAGCAGCCGCAGCTTCAGGCCAGCAAGTACGACGCCAACAACGAGGGGGAGAAGCCTACCAGACCAAGTGCGACCCCAAGCTGAAGAAGTTGATCACAGTGCTGATCAAGCAAGTGCTGGCCAACACGCAGCAGATCGCCTGGGTCGTTTCCGCGGTATACAGCACGTACCTGATGCCGACCCAGACCAAGGTGATCAAGGCGCTCCGAGCCTGCAGGAAGATCTACGCGGACAAGTGCAGGGAGGCGGGCAAGGGACACTCGCTGGGACCTCCAGAAGGACACCTCTACGTCACGCTTATTTCGACCCTCTGCTCCGAGGACGTGGGCGCCAAGACCAAGAGTATTCTCGCAGAGCACGGGAAGTTCGTGGACCAGGTCAGTGTGGCGACAGTCCTCAACAAGGTGAAGCACCTGAAGATCAGCAAGTGCTACGACAGCAACCAGGCGAAGATCACACTGTATATCGAGCAGGGGCCCTGGACCGACGCGGAGGCCGAGGAGGACCCTTCAGAGGAGCAAAAGCAGCAGAGCAACATCAAGGACAGCATCCACAGGGCGCTGATCCAAGCGAGAGCCACCGTGAAGACGGGCAAACCACCAGCGGGAGTCTTGGAGGATGAGCTGGCTGCGTGGTTGGCAGGGCTATGACTATGAGAATATGGATGGCCGACTCGACTACGCCTCGTTCGGCAAGGTGATCGGCGTGCGTGGCGCCGCGATCACGATGAAGGTGCCGCTCTGAGCGGCGACGGCGGGGGCCCATCCTTGAGGCCGAACGCACTGCTCCGCCCCCCTATGCCGCTCTATCTAACTCCTCCTCCTCCTCCTCCCCCCCCTTGCTCCCCTCCTCTTGCTCCTTCTCTACCTCCTCCTCCTCCTCCTCCTCATCCTCCTCCTCCTCCTCCTCCTCCTCCTCCTGCTCCTCACCCTCGTTTTCATCTTCGTCGTCTTCAAGGTCGGGGACACCGGCCGTGAGGCTTTCCCAATCAACAGCGGTCAGATTTTCTGATCCACTCTGCTGCTGCAATTGTGCGAAGTAGCTCGACACAAAACAAGAAGAATGAGAAACAAACGTAGTTTCTGCCATGTCTGAATCCCGTTTCCACGAGCCACGCCGACACGACTCGATGCTGGCCCTGTGATTTCGCGGGTGCCGTTCACATCACGAGCCAAGTGAAAAAAAGATCGCGAGGCAGATCCGCAAAACCCCCTTCGAGAGGGGTGAGGGCCGATGCTGCTCTGTGCGGCGCAGTACCGCCCAGGCCAAAGCAACGGCCCCAAAGCACAGCCGCAGCACAACACCGGCTGGGACGTCGGCTGCACCCGACGTCTGGCATCGTCAAACACAGGAGGCAAGAAGGGGGAAGGCAAGGAAGAAGGAAGGGGCACAGAAGCGAGGCCAAAGAGAGCGGAAACCATGGCGGCGTCGTGTGTGCGTCCCCTGCGGTCCAAACCAGACAGTTCTGTGATAAGGCCTCGCACGGCGTCTTCAACAAAGAATAAGGGCAGAAACGAGCAGGTGATTGTCAGACAGAAGCTGTGATGCCAACATGTGTGAGTCAACGCATACACGACATGACTCTAAAGCCCCAATCCACCCTGTGCCCCACACCACCCCGCAAATCCCAAATCCCATGTGCCCCACACGGCCCTCCCGCCCCGCCGGGTTTGACAGGGGGGAAGGGCATTCGTGGCGTGGGGCATGAGAAGAGCACCGTGTACGTGTCATAGATTCCAGTGATGCTCTCCACCGCCATCATAACATGAGCCAATCGGAAAAAAGACACCACCGATGTCATGTGCTTCACCCCGCTGTAGCACTACATGGCGCAGGCCAGGTGTGAAAGCCAGGGGTCGTCGGGGGCAGCCAGGGTGGTTTAAGATATTGGACCGACCCCTAGTCCATCATGCAGGAAATACAGAAGTCCGAATATCTAGTTCCCTACCTAGGCTCTGCCTAGAAGGGTTCTTACTCTCTTAGCTTAAAGGGGCCGGGCAGTGGAAAGCGCCCCGGGCGGTTCCCCCAGTCCCCTGGGAGCGGTTCCCCCCAGTCCCCTGGGAGCTTTAGCTTTAGCTTTAGCTTTAGCTTTAGCGTTAGCTTTAGCCTTAGCTTAGCTTTAGCTTAGCTTTAGCTTAGCTGTAGTTTAGCTTTAGCTTAGCGTTTCGCTTAGCTTTTCGCTTAGCGCTTAGCTTAGCTTTAGCTTAGCTTTAGCTTAGCTTTAGCTTAGCTTTAGCTTAGCTGTAGCTTAGCTGTAGCTTAGCTGTAGCTTAGCTTTAGCTTAGCTTTAGCTTAGCTTTAGCTTAGCTTTAGCTTAGCTTTAGCTTAGCTTTAACTTACCTTTAGCTTACCTTTAGCTTAGCTGTAGCTTAGCTGTAGCTTAGCTGTTGCTCAGCTTTAGCTTAGCTTTAGCTTAGCTTTAGCTTAGCTTTAGCTTAGCGTGTCGCTTAGCTTTAGCTTAGCTTTAGCTTAGCTTTAGCTTAGCTTTAGCTTAGCTTTAGCTTAGTTTTAGCTTAACTTTAGCTTAGCTGTGGCTTAGCTTTAGCTTAGCTTTAGCTTAGCTTTAGCTTAGCTTTAGCTTAGCTTTAGCTTAGCGTTACTCTTACTACTAATGCTGCTTTCCTAGGGGTTCCAACTCCTAGGTAGGGTCGCACTGTGATAATTTCAAAAGGTGCGGTGGGGATAGAAAGAGAGGATCCAAGCAATCACGATCAAGTGCTAGTGAAGCAACAATACCAATGTGCGTCGCAATGCCTATGCCTCAGACAACAATGGATTCAGGTGCCGATGGGAAACCGACAACGGATCCACCAACAACCCCACTCTCGATGCCAAGCACATTCTTGCCGCGCTCTATACGGAAGCGACCGGCCTCGCCCCACTCTGCATTCCACGAGTTCGCGATCACCCAATAATGCAATCCAGAGTCGATTCCCCAGCCCATGATCTTCACTGCGTGCGCGCCTATGTACTGTTGGTCTGTAGTTGTGTAAACACCTGACCTGTAAACTTCAAAAGATGGCACAAGGAACATCGAAGCTGAAGAAGGGCCATGGGCTAGGATGTCGCGCTGTATGGCTTCCACGTTGGCGTCAACTTTATAAGAAGTGGCAAACAAGTGTGAAGCTTGATCCTTGTCATAACTAACTTTACTCGAAGAATTTGAGTCACATGCCCAGAAACATGTAGGCGAATTGTATGTCGTGGCGGAGCAAGCACCGTATGTTCCAAATATGTGATGGTCGCAGGGCGGGAATGGATATGCAAGGCACATACTGTTATCCAGATATTTCCCGCCAGAAGCAATGCCCTGCTGCGACATGTAATCCCAACAATGGCTTGGCGTGCCACCATAGCAGCCTCCATTAGAGCCTTTACATTTGAAACAGCAGCTCATCAGGTCCACCTCAGACAGACGCTCTGAGATAGTTCCGTTGTGGTGGATGCAAAATCGATCAGTCGCAGCAGACGCAGCTGACACGGCGTAACAACTTCCACACGCAGACTGGTCCCGAATTTCAGCTATGATTGGACACTGGGGCCAGGCAGTTTGGGCGTCGAAACTTGCAGGAATGTCTTGAGTGCCAAAGGCGGTGGTGAAATCTGCCAGCTTCCTGACGGGTAAGGCGGCAGCGTTCTCAGAAGGATCCCCGCCAAGCACTCCAGCAAGGGACGCCAGCACAGAATATGGTTTGCCATGGAAACGCTGGACAGGCGGATAAACTGCGCTCCAAGTTGAGTTAGGATTGGAATTTACCATCGAAACTAATTGCTGACGGTACGTGTCTGCGTCAGCAGAAGACAGGGACAGAACATCGACAAATGGCTGCCCAAAGGCGACCACAGCCAAGCCAAACAAGTACAACAATGATGACGACATCGTAAATGCACTATGCGATGGCTCTCAAAGAAAACCGGCGAGATAGTTGAGCACAAAAGGCTAAAGGCGCGCATATGTTCGCAAGCCTGTACAATACTCACGCACTCAATCCACGTAGGTTCCCCCATAAAGAATGTGAGCGTGATGATGTGCAAACTTGAACCGTCATAAGAAGGAAGGAACATACAAACTGTTGCACGGAAACTTTACACAACCAGCGCGTGCGAAACTCGAAGGTGTTTGAGTCACCCCCCTTCGCATCCCCACTCAAGGAATCTGAGTCGCGATGATATTATATTGTATGCTCACACTGTTGCAGACGTTTGAAATCACTAGCTGGAGCTGTCAATTGCAAAAAAAATGTTGACTAAACAATGTGTCGGAAAGAGTTCTGTATACTTCTTATAAGAAACAAATGCGTGCGCTGCAAGATCCTGAATCGATGGAGTGGCATCTCCTTTTCCTGCTGCGCAGGTGCGCAATTAGCTATTTAGTCCGCGTTCTCTGCGACAAGCTGCCTCGCAACGGAGTGGCGCACGCGCTACCAAAGTAACGCATGGACCTTGGATCCTGGCTGGATGGCACGGGTGGGCAGGTCAAGTGAGACCAGCCTGGCTCCAGGCAGGCTCCCAAAAGGTGCATCGAGTGGGAGAATCCTGAGATGAATACTGTGCCTGTCTCACCGCCGTGTCCTACATTCGCGGCGCCCCAGTGACCCCTCCTGCAGTAGGGAACAACCAAGGGGGCCCCAGCGCCGATCCGAGGAATCCGTGCAGACCTCCCAGTGTTACGTTTATGTCATTGTGTGTTCCCCAACTACATCGCCCTGTCGTCATCACGCTTGCAGGCCGAGCGTCCGACTGCCCGATGGTCCGAACAGCGGGCGCGAGCGCGCCCTCGCGAGCGGAGCCAGACCTGATGATGGAAGAGGGCGGCTAACGAGGGCCTCTGGAGCCCGACTCGGGGATATACGACACGGGGCGTCCGTCCTGGCTAGGGTGTGTCCGAAGGGCCCCCCTGGGGTAGGGCGCGCTCCACCGCAGGGGGCGCCTACGCCTCGCCCCCCGGGCGCGCCTCCTGCAGCACCCAGTTCCTCGGCACGAAGGCCGGGTTCGCAGCGCCTTGGGCAGGCGGCCCCCCTCGCCCACCCCCATCCCCCATGTCCATTCCTCATCCTCCTCCTCCTCCTGCTCCTCCTCTTCCTCCTCCTCCTCCTCCTCCTCCTCCTCCTCCTCCTCCTCCTCCTCCTCCTCCTCCTCCTCCTCCTCCTCCGCCTCCTCCTCCTGCTCCTGCTCCTGCTCTCCTCCCTCCTCCTCCTCCTCCTCCTCCTCTCCTCCTCCTCCTCCTCCTCCTCCTCCTCCTCCTCCTCCTCCTCCTCCTCCTCCTCCTCCTCCTCCTCCTCCTCCCCTGCTCGATGATTATAAGAGCATGAATTAGCGCCAACGTGTGTGGCGGTCCACCAAGCCCAACAGGTACGACGCAGGTGTTGTCAAGATGGCGGACACTGGCCAAACGTAGCAAACACACATTGGGCTAACATGCGTCCTGAGGAACATCGACCCTTCTCGCCCTCCTGCTCCTCTTCACTTCATTTCACTGGTGCGGCAACGCATGCCACTGCCACACGAGCCGAAACAGAGCGGAACCAAAGCATGGAGGCTTACAGCTGGTCCGCCGAGTCCGCGTCCTCAGCGCCGTTCGCGTCGCTCGCTTTGCGACGCGAAGCCTGTGGATACTCGGCACGGGTCTTCAACCAGTTCTTGGGTCAACTCCTCCCCATTTCAACCCCTCCTTTTTCCTCTCCCACCACCTTCCCCCATTTCCCGTCCCCCTCCCGTGCTCCACCTCAGCACAATCGAGGAGAACGAGGAGCACGAGGAGCAAGAGAGGCACAACGACGAGGATAATGAAGATGATCAGCAGTACCCGACAACGTGTACATGCAAATCACTGGCACGTTCCAAAGGACCCGCACTGCTGCAGACGCCACTGTCGCTGCAGCTGTCGTTGAAGCCGAGGGCGTTTCTGTCGGCGTGGCTGTCAGTGCAGCTGGTGGTGAGGCGGTTGGTGCTGCTGTCGGCGTGGCGAAAGTGTCAGCAAATGCTGGGGTGGGAATGCTGACGGCGCTGCTTCGTGGCCGTCGAAGCATTTGGCGAGGAAGCGGGCAGCACGTCAGCCGGCGCGGCCCACGGTGCAGGAATGAAGCAGTGACGCTGCCGGCTCTCGGGGAGGCCGTCGGTGCTGCTGCGCACGCCCCGCCACGCCCCCCGCACGGCGAGAGGCGCTCGAGCCAGCGCGAGGGGCGGGGGGGGGGGGCGGGGCAGGGAGAGAGGGAAAGCGACGGGTGAGGGCGGGGGGGCAGAGGGGGCGGGGGGGGGGGAGCGACAGCGGGAGCGGGAGGGAGGGCCCCCCTCCTCCCCCTCCTCCTCCTCCTAGCCCTGCGGGCATCTGGCGCCTGGAGCTACTCGAAGAACGGATGCCGAGAGAAATCCGACCGCAGGCACACATGCTATACCGCAAGCACATGCGCATACGCAGATGTCGAGATATACAAATAGAATGTTGTGCCTGTAGATGTACAGTTCAATCAATCACCAGCCCATCATCATATGTTTGTGTATGCATCAGTTCACACATCTACAAAGCAATCAATATTATGAGGGACCGCGTTCGTCAACTCAGCTTTGAAATCTGTCGGACCGTTTCGGCCTGGCACTCTTCGCAGCGTTAACGTAAGACTGACTGTCTAACCTTAACCCGAGAGCAGATTGTCATACTGCTTGAGAGTCAGCTGCAGTGCTGAGGGGGAGATCGTCAGGCAATGAGCGGTGCCCAAGGAGGAGAGATGCACCCTCTGACTGCAATAGAGCAGCACCGTCTTCTTGTCGAGGTCGGAAACGCCGTCAGCCTCTAGCTCACGGGCGTACCTCCAAGTGGCGCGAGATAGACTGCGTGAATGCTGTACCACGGCATCGTGGCTCCGTTCCGTGCGTCGGCGCGTATGGTCGGTTGGCATGGCCGCCGCTGCCTGTCTCAGCGCCGCTTCCAAGGGCACCACGCCACGTCGCAATAAGCTCAGCAGTCGCACCGAATGGCGCTCTGGAGCGCTCTGATGTCTCGCCGTCATCCGCGCTTGCTGATGCTGCTCTTCGCACTCGCGCCCTCGAACTCGTCGAGGACCTGCTGGGCGGCACTCTCGAGAGGGCTGCAAGGCGCTGACCAGCGCTTGATCTCGCCGCCCCGATTGCGGAGCTACGTCACGAGCGCCTCCTGGACCGCCGAGCACTTGCCGCGCAGCGCCATCGCGAGCTTGACCACGGCATGATTGCCCTCCTCTGGCTTCGCGGGGCAAACCTTGCAGTGCGTGGCCGCCCCCGATCGCTGCCGCCATGGCGGGCGCGATCTCGCCCTCCGCCGCCTGGTCGACCGCGCCCTCACTGACGCCAGTCACCACAGACCCGAAGAGGTGGGCGCGAGGGGCGCCCAGCTTCTTGGGTTAGGTCGGGCATGTCCCTCCACAGGCGGATTTGGGACGAAACATAAAACATAGTCAAAACAATACACCAAAAGATTCGGCAATAGTCGGAAAATCGTCACAAGACCATCTGTTGACTGTGTTTGAATATTCCTCCTGTAGAGGGACCCGCCCGACTGAAAGGTGGGCGCGAGAGGGGCGCCTGGCTTCTTGGGCTCGATGCCCCCTCTCTCCGTGCCTCCCTCGCCCCCGCCTCCCTCGGCCCCGCGTGCCGCTCCCTGCCCAGCCACGTGAACACACACAAATGTTTCCTGAAACATGGAACACCATCATAAACTGCACCTGCACAAGCCAATATCTGTGCATATATATATATATATATATATGTAAGCGTACGTGTGTGAGAGAGAGAACAAACTTCAGGTCTGTAACTGCATAGGGTCGTATTCGAGAAAGAGCTTCGAGTTACTTCCCAAACTACGTCGAGGCCGATTTGCGGCGAAATCGCGCCGCATGAATTTAGCAACGCGAAACACATCTTGAAATGGACACCGCAAAGACGCCCACCCACGAACTGTTCCGTTTCAAACGCCTGGCGACGTAGTAATTCAATATGCGCGCTCGGCGCACAACGGGTCACATTGGGCTCCGATCGGGCGTTGGCAGAACTGGGCTTAGTGGGACCTGGTTTAATGATATGTACTGGGGGACGCCCCCCCCCGCCCCGTTCCACTAACCGGAACTACCGTCACCCGAAAAAACACCAGCTACGGCAGACCTGGTTTGATGATACTGGCCAATTTAGGAGCTCCAGGGCCCTATTACTAACCGGGTCCCCTTGCCTGGGGTCCTGGCTATACCCGATCCGTTTCAAGAGCTCGACGACGTAGTAACTCAATACGCGGGCTCGGCGCGCAACAGGTCACATTGGGCCCCGAGACCTCTCGACAGCCTCCCGGGACCTGCAGAAGGACCCGCGGACTCGCCCACGCCGTGACCAGCCGCCAACGAGGAGGAGGATGAGGAGGAGGAGGAGGAGGAGGAGGAGGGAGAAGCGTAGGAGGAGGATGGGCGCGAGGGGGAGGTGGGGGGGGAGGGAGGAGGAGGGAGGAGAGGAGGAGGAGGAGGAGGAGGAGGAGGAGGAGAGGAGGAGGGACGCGGCCCTCCCCCAGCGCGGCGGCATCGCAGGGGGCCGAGGCCCAGGCGCATTGCTTCACGCCGCCGTGGGGCGCCCACCTCGTCAGCCAGGCCCGCGCTCCTCCTCCTCCTCCTCCTCCTCCTCCTCCTCCTCCTCCTCCTCCTCCTCCTCCTCCCTCCTCCTCTCCTCCTCTTCTCCTCCTCCTCCTCCTCCTCCTCCTCATCCGCTTCCTCTTCCTCTTCCTCTGTTCTCTTCCTCTTCCTCCTCCTCGTCCTCCTCCTCCCCAACCTCCCCCTCCCTCCCATCCTCATCCTACGCTTCTCCCTCCTCCTCCTCCTCCTCCTCCCCTCCTCCTCCTCCTCCTCCTCCTCCTCGTCCTCCTCCTCCTCATCATCATCATCACCACCACCGCCATCATCATCATCATCATCATCATCATCATCATCATCATCATCATCATCATCATCATCATCATCATCAGCATCATCAGCATCATCATCATGGTCATCATGGTCATCATCATCATCATCAGCAGCAACATCATCATAATCATCATCCTCATCATCATCATCATCATCATCATCATCATCATCATCATCATCATCATCCTCATCCTGGTCCTCGTCCTCGTCCTCGTCCTGGTCATCGTCCCCCTCCTCAAATTTCCCCCCCCCCCCTCCCTCCTCCTCCTTCTCCTCCTCCTCCTCCTCCTCATCATCATCATCATCATCATCCTCATCCTCATCATCATCCTCATCCTCCTCCTCCTCCTCATCATCATCCTCCTCTTCCTCTTCCTCTTCCTCTTCCTCCTCATCCTCCTCTTCCTCCTCCTCCACCTCCTCCTCCTCGCCCTTTTGGGACGAGCCGACAGTTCGGGAAAATCGAGGCTGCCGGCCTTGCTGCCACTCTGGGGCTCTGGGGGCCCATCTCGCGCGCCCTCACGACCGTCACTCGCCCAGGACGTCCTCACGCTTCGAGGCTGCCAAGGCAAGACCGAGGCGATACTGATGCGAGGGCTCCCAAGCAAGAAAGAAGAGAACCTCATGTGATCCCACAGGATGCCGCAAAAAGATCCGGAGGCCACAGGAAGCGGGGCCAGTTGGGGCTAGCCGTGGCAACTGTCAAACCCGCGGACATCTGAAGATACCGAGGCGGCGGTGCTGATCGGGCGAGTCCAGAGCCAACCGGAATCCGCCACACCATAGCAAAAGCTTGCTGGGGCTGGCCGGGGCGAGCCGACATCCCGCCGCGATGTGCACACTGCGACACGACTGCCCAACAAAACAGTGCGTCCATCAGCCTAGAATACCAGGGCCATCCTAACACAATGGCTCGGCAATGTCATGAGCATCGCATGCCAGGATCAGCTTAAAGGCGAAATCGAAGTAAACAAGAGCCTGGCCCTACCTACAGCGAGCGCAGTCTTACCAGCAAGTATAAAAATGGGTTCGGGGGGAAGAGTACAAGGAGGATCCTCGCCAGCATCGCCTGGTCAACTCGAAGCACGTCCTTACGTGCCGCCCAACGACCTGCCCCGAATGCCAGCAGCTATACACTAGCCAACTCTCTGGCAGACACCACCGTACACGGGTAACGCCGAGCACCATGCTTTGCGTACGGATAGGCAGGTTAATTGGAATCGCGCTCACAAGTCATGGCACGGTCTGCCTCGGAGCCAGCATGCGCGCAGTGCGCCTAGCCTTCGGTACGGACAGCATGCCACCATCATCGAAGACGTGCCACACGCGCTGACAATGATGAGCGTTCGTGGACTCGGCTGAGGTCGCCCTCCTCCTTCTCCTCCTCCTCCTCCTCCTCCTCCTCCTCCTCCTGCTCCTCCTCCTGCTCCTGCTCCTCCTCCTCCTCCTCTTCATCCCCTCCTCCTCCTCCTCCTCCTCCTCCTCCTCCTCCTCCTCCTCCTCATCATCATCATCATCATCATCATCATCATCATCATCATCATCATCCTCTGCCGCCTCCCCCCTTTCCCTACTACTCCTGCTCCTCCTCCTCCTCCTCATCCCCCTTCTCCTCCTCATCGTCATCATCAGCATCAGCATCAGCAGCATAAGAATCATCAGCATCAGCAGCATCATCAGCATCATCAGCATCATCATCAGCAGCATCATCAGCAGCTTCATCAGCATCATCATCAGCATCAGCATGATCAGCATCAGCCTCAGCACCAACATCATCATCAGCAGCAGTAAGATCAACCTCAGAATCAGCAGCATCATCACCATCATCATCACCAGCATCATCAGCAACAGCATCAGCATCAGCATCAGCATCAGCATCAGCATCATCATCATCATCATCATCATCATCATCATCATAATCATCATCATCGCCATCGTCATAAGCATCATTACCATCATCGTCATCATCACCATCACCATCACCATCATCAGCATCAGACTTTGCATCAGCATCAACAGAATCATCATCAGCAATAGCATCACCAGCAGCAGCAACAGCATCAGCATCAGCATCATCGTCACCATCATCATAAACAGAATCATCATCATCATCATCAGCAGCATCAGCATCAGCATCAGCATCAGCA